AAAAAAAAAAAAAAAAAAAAACTTTAATTCATTAAATTATCAAAAATTTTATTTTACAAAAGATTTATGCTGCTGAACTTTCTCTTCATCAAAAGATCCTGAAAAAAATGTTTCATGGTTTCCACAAAAAACATTAAGCAGCAACTCAACATTGAAGATAATAAGAAACGTTTCTTGAGCATCAAATCAGCATATTATGATTTATGAAGGATCATGTGACACTGAAGACTGGAGTAAATGATACTGAAAATTCAGCTTTGCATCACAGGAATACATTACATTATAAAATAAATTAAAAGAGAAAAACGTTTATTTAAATTGTAAGAATATTTCACAATATTACATTTAAAAAAAAAATTGTGTACTTTTTAAATTTGACCAAATTAGCCAGATAAACATTTAAAATTTGCAGTCTCTCACATCAAGGAAACTGGACCAGAATTATTGATGATTCATCCTGCACTACACAGTTTATTGTCCAATCAGATACTTAAAGGGGTCATATGATGTTGCTAAAAATAACATTATTTTGTGTATTTGGTGTAATGAAATGTGTTTATGCGGTTTAAGGTTAAAAAAACACATTATTTTCCCCCTTTAATAAGAATGTCCCTCCCCCAATGCCACCTCCAAACAACTAGCAAGTAGCAAATCAACTTCATGAACAAAAGCCAGAAAAAGTAGTTTCCTGCTAAAAACTTCCTGTTGAAATACAAAAAAACAATACATCAACATGGGAAGAACCTGCTCAACAAGCAATTTCATTGGATTTGTAAATCTGAAGGTTAATAAAATAATGTGAGAAAGAACAGACAGTAATCTGCATTTCTCAGTGGTTGTGGTTGTAAAATGTGCTGTGCGTGGACTTGGGTGGGAACATGAAGTAGACATGAAGGGGGTGGATAGCGTGTGCAGTGTAGAAGGTTGTTCTCCAGTGAGGGCATCCTCAGAGCCAACCTGTGGTGTGTGTGTGTGTGGTTGCGGCCTGCAGTATATCCAGCCCTCAGCGAGAGCAGATCTCGTCTCTCCTCAGCCTGTCCACAGTAATGTCAGAGCGGTTCTTCCAATGACTGCCTCTGCGGCTTTGATTTACACCAGCTCCGCCTTAAACACTGCAGATGGGAAGACACTGTAGCCACCGCTCTGTATAGACCGAGCCATTGTCTCTCTTTGCTTACAATTTGGTCTTGCGACCAGCAGAGGTGTTAAAGGGATAGTTCGCCTAAAAATGTAAATCCTGTCATCATTCTGTTACTTATATATGACTTTCTCACTTCTGTAGAACACAAAAGAAGATATTCTGAAGAATGTTTTGACTGGTTTATCTATATAATGAAAGTCAGTGAGGTCCAAAACAACATTGTACTCGTTTGATATGGACAAAAAAGCACATATTTAAAAATATCTTCTTTTGTGTTCTGCAGAAGTGAAAAGTCATACAGGTCTGGAATGACATGAAGGTGAGAAAATGACAGATTAAAAAAAAAAAGTTTGGGTGGACTATTCCTTTAAAAGTGCCTTTTTATGTTTGTAAGCTTAGTTAATGTTACTTACACCACTGGGTGAGCCAGAACTTTACATGTTGAAACGCTCAAAGAAACAGGATAATATTAAACTTGGAGAGGAGAAAATATTTTAGCATCAGAAAAATGACAAACTTCACCTTTAAATGTAATATTACATGTGACATATTTACAGCTTACAGGACAATTTAGAATAAAATGACAGAACCAAATTAGCAAACTCTCGATTTATTCAAAGCTTGAAACTAAACCCACATGAATTGTGGGTGGTCATTTAGTCTCCACATGTTTGCATTTTACAGGGGTAGTTTATGAAATGTATTGTGGACAAACTTGGGAGTCCTTTTTTTAGATTAGCACTGAGTGCTAGCGAGGCATTTTTGTGTCTTGAGTTATTTCATTTTAATGTGTATGTGTGGCTCCTCATTGTTTGCCACTCCTGAGATGGAAAAGCACAGCCACTCATTTGCTCCATAGTGAGTCATCTAGCCTTACGGTGTATCAAGCCGAACACTAAACATGCCACTGTTAATAGTAAGTCATGGGGCCATTTGACCAAGGAGAAGTGGGCAGAGCAGCTTCAGAGCTGTCAGATAGTATTGTTCTGAGAGAGGGCCCTTTCCTACCAGCACTTCCTCAGTGATAACCCCACAGGAGCTTGAACCCTGTTGCTTGTGCTGTGGTGTGTCTTTATTGTGGAGTAAAAGCATATGTCAGCTCAAAATTGTCAGTGCTTTGTAGTTTCCTGTAGTCTTCTGGAGCTATTTATATGGGATATTTGGCATCAGCAGCCCTTACAGCGGTCTTGAGCTGTTGTTGATGCCCCCCGCTTTGATCCCCCGAACATTCCAAGTGTGATTAAATGTGTTACAGCTAACAGTTCAATTTTTCAAAGATCAGTTACTTTAAATGGAATGTAGCACTTGACCCAAAACCAATCTGACCCAGATCACTTTTGAACTCCATCATGGGTTGCATAATGCAGTTAGGTATTGTTATTAGGTAGCATAATAATAGTCACTAATGATAAGTGAAGTGACATGTGGCCAAGTATGGTGACCCATACTCAGAATTAGTGCTCTGCATTTATCCCACCTAAAGTGCACACACACACAGCAGTGAACACACACACACCCGGAGCAGTGGGCAGCCATTTTTTGCTGCGGCGCCCGGGGAGCAGTTGGGGGTTCGGTGCCTTGCTCAAGGGCACCTCAGTCGTGGTATTGAAGAGAGCGCTGGACATTCACTCCCCCCACCTACAATCCCTGCCGGTACGAGACTCGAACCCACAACCTTTGGGTTACGAGTCCGACTCTCTAACCATTAGGCCACGACTTCCCCAACAACAACAACAATTGATTATTATTGGATCATGCTATTAGATATGCTGCCTATTGAAACTTATAAGACCTACCTGACTTGTGAAAGTTATCTTGGCTATGGATTATCACAAAATTATCACGGTTTTCACAAAAATGTTAAGCAGCACAACTGTTTTCAACACTGAAAATAATAAGAAGTGTTTCTTGAGCAGCAAATCAGCCTATTAAAATTATTTCTGAAGGATCATGTGACACTGGAGTAATGGCTGCTGATAATTTGGCTTTGCCATCACAGGAGTAATTTAGATTTAAAATACGTATATTAAAATAGAAAACAGTTATTTTAAATCGCAATTACATATTATATTTTACAATATTACTGTTTTTACAGAATTTTTGATCAAATAGTGTGAAAAGAAAAATTATTTTAAAAATATTACCAATCATTACCAAAAAACTTACCAACCCCAAACTTTTAAACTGTAAATCAACTGTCTGATACTGTACCGTAGTACTGAAACAATGCTTTATTTGTAAATAATAGATCAAGCTGTTCGTGCAAAGTTGCCAAAAATGCAGCAAAATGTAGTTATTTGTGGACCGATAACATCTTTTGTTGAAGGTGTGCTCTCTTATTTTAAAGTTTATAGCCAGGCCGGGCGAGAGCATGGACAAAAGCTGGATAGATTTTATCAGATGTAATTAGCCTAGCAGGCTTTGCTAGTCCTGCTGGAAGTAATCATTAGCCCCTTGCTAGCTACATCTTTAAGAAACATATGTTCTCTGTTTTAATCCCTGAGCTGTAAACTACAACTCTTAAAGATGACCCAAGGAGCTTTTCGCGAGGCTGCACGGTTCTTAGTACGTTTGGATGATACTCATGATTTTGGCTAAGGCCGTGCTGATTTATCAGAAGAAGTTTGTTTTAAATTATATGTCAAGG